ACCTAGTTTCCACATCAAAAGAATTCTGGCCCTTCCGCCTATTCTCTCCGTAACCAAATACCGGACCCTCCGATTCGCTTCAACTCACGCCTTAAACCTTTCATACCAAAAAGATATCAAGGAATGTATTTCCAAACTCCCCTCGTGCTGGTCATATGTTTGAGATATTTTCTCAACAGAAAGAAGCCATAGTTCTCGATATACCCCGAGTCCAGCTACACTTGCTCGAAAGATTTCATCTGAAGAAGTAAAATGAAAATCATTCCATGAATTTCCTTATACTCAACCCGTATCTTCCCGTAATAATCAGTCTAGAGATATGGAATACCTGTGTGAATATCTAGAACATGTATTATCTCTCCCATGAAGGAAACGTGTTTGTTTCAAGCAGGCAGGTATATACCGGTAAGATAACTGCAACTTTTCACAATGCAACTTCTATAGGAAAGAGATTGTTTGGGCTCTATCTCATTGTGCAGGAATTTTGCTGCGTGAAGCGGATTATCGGAAGTTGAAGTATCAGTTTAGGAAGCTGTTCCATTTCTACGAGCAATTTAAAGCTGCCCTGGGTGGAGCCAACCTAGGTATCTGTGAGTAAAGTAATATGAATCCCTCTCAGTTCATCAGCAATGGTTCAGTATATTCAGTGAAGTTACTTCCTACCTGCTGGGTAAACTTTCACTAAGCTCGGCTAATCGGCGTTCCGGTTTCCATGATGAGGAGGTTGCTTCCTTTTTCTGCTGTTTACTGTTCTTATCATGTTGTCACCAAGTTCTTGTGCATCTTTTTGGATTAAGTAGTATTTTTGCATCATTTATTCCTATTAGTTCTCTCCTTCCAAGAGAATTCTTAACCGGTTGGGTGGTATTTGAATCACACCTTCCTCGTGGAAGGTCTAGGATTAAAAGTTCCGGAGATTTGCTGGAAATCATGTCTGGGGAAGTAGACTGTTCTTGAGATTTCATTTAGGAGGCTTGGTTTGATGTTGTTGTGTGGTACTTAATGTTGCTGTAATTGAGTGGTTGAGATGCTTACCTACCTAGATAGATTGTTGTTAGTCATTCGCAAAATGGTCAGCCAGATTGTCGAGCGTTTATCTTCTCGGGCTTCATCTTTTGTTTGAAAAGACTTTAGTTGATGTGGGTAAGTATTGGTGAAGCTTCTCCATAGAATTGTTGAAGGGCTCAGATCGTTTTTGGATTCATCTTTGCTTGTGAAAAGACATGGAGACGAAGAAGCCCGGGATGTGTTTACATGATTTCCGCACTTTTCATAGGTGAAATATCAACATTCCCCCCCCAGGGGTGTCTCTATTCCTTCATGTTTATCCATTGAAGGTTGCCATTCCTCACATCAATCGTCGGTGATGCTGACGTGGGTATCTTGAGATATCAATCATTGCTACTTTCTTCTTCATTAACAAATCTTACGTATTTCCTTCCCCAATTTCTACCATTCAAATACATCTTCTCTCCCAATTTTACTGTCCGATCGTCCCCTTTCAAGGTTGCAATAATTATCCGCAATGTTCCACGCCAACTCCCTCCTCGTTCCTTCCTTAAACAACGAGAACTCCAGTGTTTGCACTGTTTGCTCGCCTTTTCCCACCCTAGAGCCCTTGATTGACCTAGCACAGACCATACTGTTTTCCTATAAAGATCGGGCTTCCTGCCGTCGTTCTCCTCTTCTTTTTCTTTTCTTCTTCACGCACCCCTGAAAATCAACAATTTTTGTCATCAAAACCATGTTCCTGGTATTACACTGCCTCCAGGTGACGTGGGAAAAAATTTTCATTGAATTGTTGGCTTTACGCTGGCACTCGAAGAAGAATTCTTTTACTTTGGTATCGTCGTTCTTATTCCGCTGATGACATTGCTGTGATGGCTTGAAGGTGTTGTGTGTTTTTGCAAAGGTCGTATGTACTATCTTAGATTGCTTCCTGTATGCAAACTAGCTTACGGTGCTCTCTTGGAGAGTATAGCTACAAAGACATTGTTGAAGGAAGGTGTCAGAATTTCTGTGAAGGAAAATGATGATGATGATGATGATGATGATGATGATGGCAGCGGTGCTAGTGAACTGTATACGTTGACATCCGATTGTTTAATTGGTAGTAGTAATACCCATCAATTCTTGGTCTTTACTGGATTTCAATCGAGGTGTACGCTGTACACACTCTCTCAAAGCTTCTAGAAATAGACATATAAATACAATGGAGAGGCATGTGAGCCCGTTTTCTCCAAAACTGCTCTTGAAAGATATCATCACATGATACTAATAAAAAGCGATCTCTCAACTAGAGGGAAAAACACATGATTTACTACGGGCATACAAAAAAATAAAACCCTTGGCACTATCATTTGCTCTTAGGATCTTTAGAATTACGATGATCACTTGTAAGAATTTCCCTTTAGAAGTCCCCACAATTCTCAACATTAAGTTGTTTTTGCCTCTATTCACACTGAATCTTAAGGTTTTATTGAGTGATACTCCAGCATTGTCCATTGGCATTCAACTTTTCTAAATATCTTTCAGGCACTTTCGAAACTTGAACTTGATGGTAAATATCCTTCTTTATCACTATCTAACTAATTCTTTTCTCCATGAGACGTTCATAAGGGTTACTAGAAACGATCCTCGTGACAACTATCCGATTCATCAAATTCCAACCAACGAATTTTCACAAAATCTACCTCGAAATATGTTGGCATCGTCGGCCATCCTGATTGCCTCGCTAGTTACTCGGATACTCGTGCCGATTAAGAATTTGAGAGTTATTAGCTGATTGAAATTCTACTTCCATTCGAAAGACGAGAAAGACTTACCATATTTTCCACATTTGTTTCTCACATGTTGTATGTGAGGTATATTTGGAGACACAGTAGGTCTTAAACAGCCAAGGACCATATTTTGCCCTCACAAATTTTGTGTATGAGGTAGTTGTGAACAAAAAATTGAATATGATTGAGATTCTCGAAGAGTCTCTCTTTGCTGAATCAAGACCATTTCTGGTCCCCATAAAGTGTGTATGGGGTATTGATGAACAAAACTTGACTCAGCACCACCACCAGCACCACCAAAAAAATCAAGAATTTTTGAAACCAAGACCATGTCTTGTCCTCACAAATTGTGTATGAGGGATTGATGCACAAAAATTGACTCAGCACCACCAAAAAAATCAACAATTTTTGGAATCAAAACCATGTCTCTTCCTCACAAATGATATGTGAGGTATCGATACACAAGAATTGACTCAGCACCACGCAAATACTCAATTTTTGAAATCAAAACCATGTCTCTTCCTCACAAATGATATGTAAGGTATCGATACACAAGAATTGACCCTGCACCACCACCAAAACCCACTAATTTTTGAAATCAAGACCATGTCCTGTCCTCGCAGTAAACATTCTGCGAGGTAATATGAAGAGAAAAAGAAAGAAAAAAGAATTCAGAATCCGGGGGAGTCAGACCTTTTATACCCACTGGGTGTGGGGTATCTTCTCTAGTGAGTGAAATTACCCAATTAGTCTACTTGTTAGGTTAGTTAGAAATGATATCGGGGGAAGTGGAGTTACGTGTGCTGAATGTGTTCGCTTATGTGAGGGGTTTGCGGGGAACTACCTAGGTACATTACTATGGCATGTCTAGTCTCGAGCTAGTAGTCTTAGGCTCGATGAAGCTTTATTTTCGTGACATTTTTCACTTAAAGTTTCCTTGGTATTATCCTCGTGACTGATGTTGTTATGAATAGGGACTGGTCTTGAATAGTCATCAATAGACAAACCAATAGTTGCAAAATTTTCGGTTAGATGAGAAACCGAAAAGGGTTTATCCAATATCTTAACCTTGCCTCCGTTTCTCAAAATGACAGATCCCTTTCAATCATCGTCTCATGGTCACCTACATCAGAGTGAGCTAGATATGGATACTCCATGCATCGAGAAAGATCGTTTCCTGCGTAATCACAATCAGGGAGTCGATCATGAATCTATCAATCAACCAAATAACTAAAGCAATCCATAGCCGACTAACAAGCCAATCAGCGTGAAATAAGGAATGGGATAGAATCTCCAATAAATGCTAAACGAGTATCAAATCCCGTAAAGAGATTATTTTCCCCAAACTTTTTCCCATCCCCCAGCAGTGTAGACAATAGTATTTCCCGTATTCAATATACAGATCGAATTCGTTATAATTATTGGATTTCTATAAAATATTACCGTATGTAGTATTGAAAGCTATACTACTAAAAGTATTTAATATTTTTTTTAGCTATTTAATATTATTAGCAATATACTGAAACATTAGAATTCATTATAACATATTGATTCCTATTCAAATTAGATAATAAAATTTCATTCCTTAGATATTTCAAATGAAGACGAAATTCCTTTTTCCCAGTCTAATTTGAATAGGAATAAATATCTTATTACAAATTCCAGCAGTTCAATATATTATTAATAATATCTATATATAAGAATAATTACAAAAACAACACATCTTTATCAAACACACTAATAACTATTATATCAATAAATCAAAACACACACCAAACTTTTACCATAAAATACCATTCCCTCCACTATCCCTCAGATCTCCATCTCCATCTCCAGCATACATACCAAACTCAACATCCCAATTTTCCATATTCATTCCCTTTTCGTTCCCGCTACAAATCTAACCATAACCAGAACCAGTACCTCCAGCGATACCAAACATAATTACCTACCTTCCCAATTAACAAAATCATACCTTCCCTTCTAACCCCAAAAAACAATCAAAAATATTTCTCACAACGAGTACCTAGGTAGTAGTAATAATAATAATCCATCGATCAGTCCTCGAGGATATCCTTTATAATCATAAATAATAAAATAATACCTCCTCCCAATCCATAACCACATACACGACATACTAGGTATTCATATCCATTTTTTCCTTTCTAATCACAATATATACATACCTACACTACCCACCTATCTACAGTACATACCTATCTACATAGCTGCACACCAAATTCCAGATTCAGCACTTAGGATATCCATGGATTTTCCTACATTTTTGATTTTGACCCAGATACCTATCCATACTAATGAAATGAAAAGATGACTTGCTGCTATGTAGTCTCTCTCTCGATACGCGATCGTATGGGTTTTTGTCCTCCACCTCCTGCTCCACCTCCTGCTCCTCCTCCTGCTCCTCCTCCTGCTCCTCCTCCTGCTCCTCCCCCCTCCCTCCTTCTTCAACCATCACAACAACACCCAAACAAATCACTCTAGACTCAACCCCCCAATTCCTCAACCCTCCAATTCCTCAATCCATACTCTAACCAAGTGCCTAGCCCAAAAAAAAACTCCCCCCTTCTCCCCCTTCAATTACTATCTACCTCCATTCTCCCCTCTCATTCCTCATATTTCCACATTTCCACATCTCCACATTATCACGGTACCCCTCATTAAAAGAGAAGTCGTTCTTCAAGAATATGAATCTCTTCTCCCTTCCTCTCATATCTATATCAGTCTGCTCGCCGACAATATTACAGTGCAGACACAAGTACAATAGAATAACAAGAGTATATGCAACATCACAAGTAACAAGTAACAAATAACTTGTCAAAAACTCCTCAATCACGGAAATCAACCCCAAGTCCCTTCTCCGTTTCAACAAAGTCACCATCAAAGTAACCATTCACATCACAATAGGAATCACAAATGCAAAATGTATCTCTCTTTTTATGAAGTACCATTCTTTCCACGTTTGATTAAAAGCTAATTACATGCTCATCCTCCTAATATATTGATAATGTACCCGAATACCCCATTGATTCTCCCATTGTTGCGCAGCCAAAGCTCGTAAAAAAGATCTCAAATAATATGAGTTCATAAAAGCTCTGCAAATAAATATGTTGATATGTAAGTATCCCATCCAGTAATAGTATCCTTTTTTGTGGTATCATAATGTCGTCATTTCATGAAACCATAACCCATTGAGCAAATATCGCAATGATGCGTGTAGATAGATAAGTTGTAAACAAAAGAAAAGCAAAGTTTTTGGTGTGGTTAAAGGTCGAGAATGATATCTCGCAATTCCTGGCAGTCGGCCTTGGTAAGTTCACCGGATAACTTCTTGGCGACGATGAATTTCTTCAACTTTGTGAGATCATCGTCGTCTCCTTCGTTGGTTGGTCGACTTGGGTTTTCACTTACGCCAATGTCACCATCATAAGCGTAGTCGGCAAAATTGGCAGGAAGAGCACTCTTTTCCGCACAAATGATGCGATCCTCAGGACTGAGTAACTCAGGTTTGACATGGCGACAAGTGAGAGCAAACCGCAAAAGACCATGAGGTGTAACGGCATGCTATCAAGATTGATTAGTATAAAGAATTGTGTGGTGATCCAAAGAGGGTACTTACTTCATAGTATTTATGAATGCCGGATCCGTGCATAACAATAATGTCGCCATGGTTCAGAGTGACCTTGACATAGTCTTTCTTGGCTGCTTTGGAACCAAGATTGCCCTTACCGGGCTTGAGAACACCGCCGATTGTGCTTTTGTTCTTTGGACGGAAGCACATGGTTGAGGATGCTCCGAGAGATAAGGTTGCAACGGTTTCACCAAGAGTATCTTCTCCATCATCGTGATACTATTGTAAGTCAGTATACCGATGTAAGAAAGAGAAGAAGGATGTACATACACCGATATGCATGTTCTCGAAGTAACCAAGGGCCAAAACCTCATTGAAAGGAGTAAACTCGGCATCGTGCTTTCCGGAAAATGCTTGTTTCCCAGCCCAAGTCATTCTTTGCATTGCCTGGAGGATAGGTACTGGAGCATCTTCAAACGAATTGGCGTCATGTGCAACCAAGAACTTGTATGGTGCCCCCTAATTTGATAAATTAGCTATAGCAAAAGGCGTAAGTACAAAGTAGAACTTACAAAGTTTGATGCGAAGTGTGCAGTGACAATCTCCATTGGAACTGGTAAAGGTTAGAAATATGACAATGCAAAGAAAGATTGCGGGAACTCACGACCAGGATGTCTAGCAGGACCTCTGCGGAGCTTGTAGTCATCCTTCTGCATTCCTTGGAACAGATCATTTGGTCCACCTGGTTGACTGTTGATAAGGCCATTAGAGCGGAAAATCTGGATCCATCCAGCTTCTGATGTCTCGCCAGGAAGTTGGAGCTCATAAACATCATAGTGACCAATGGGCTTGTGGTTGACACGAACGGATTCATGAGCAAACAATATTGGGCTCTGATCAACAATGATGTTGTTACCTTCGATGGCTTTGGTGATGGGAACTGGAACCTGTGTTACAGTGTGAGTAAAATCACAGCCCGGTGTTTCACAAGTCCATTGTCGCCATTCCAAACGACGGATACATCCATGACACTTTGGGCAAACAATGCCTTGTTTGCATCGTTCTTCAACACCAAAGATATCTTCACCGACCAAGTCTGCATCAGTGACAGGCGCAGGACGTAATGGAGGAGGTGCAGCGCCAGTGTAAAGGGTACGCTCTTGAAGAAACTCCGCACAGTATTGGAGGTCATCGACATCAACTTGATGATCAAAAACGTAGAAAGATTCGCACTGAGGGCTTCGACAAGTCCAGCCTTGAGTGTAGATGGTCTTGCATGAAGTATTGCAAGCACCACATGTTTGGACAACCGTCTTCACACCATCATATCCTTGAGAAAGATGGGCGACAGAGTCGATCGGAGACCACCAAGACCGCTTTGTAAGATCAATCTTCTCCATTCTGACTTTCCACATCTTGAGCCCATTCTCAAGTTCACACCAGATATCTGTGATATGGAAGAAGTCAAGAACATTGAAATGGTGATTGAGCTTGACAGGGCAGATGGTATTGCGCTGGCCTATAGAAGTATTAGTAGGGAATTCAAATTTATACATGGCAATAGTAATACTTACCAGCAATCATTGCAATTGGTAGTTTAGCTTCCATGGTGCGTTGGAAAGAGATGGCAATTGAGCTGAAGTCTTGGTCCTTGACCCGCTTCGTTTCACCATCCTCGCCCTTTGACTTGCCGCCACCACTTTTATGGAAAAATTAGCAAGAATCAATTATCATTGGAATTGGAGTAACTTACACTGAAGTGATGTAGATATCTTCTGTGAAGACATCCCGAGGACCAACTCCTTGATTGGCGAGGAACCCAGCAATCATACCATTAGTGCGATATGCAGCAGATTCATATCCTTTATGATAAGGAAGTGATGAACAAAGTTGTTGTCTCTTCTCAGCCCATACTGGTGGCTCACCCCAAGCTTCCGGCTTGCTCAAAGTTGCGTTTTCCAAAGAAGGTAACTCCTTGACCTTGGCAGCAGCTTTGCGTGATTTTGGAGGGGTTACTCGCGAAGGCTGACGAGGGGATGTAGTCATTACCTTTTTGCGAGGTGGCTCCAACGACTCTTCGGTGGTATCTGTGAGAAGATCCTCAACACTGCTCACCACAGCCTTGCGCTTGGCGGGGACCACTGGCTTTTCAGTTCTTGCAAAGAACTGGTCCAACTTTGGCTGTACATTTTTAGTGGCTCGAGTACTTCTTCTTGTTGGTGGTGGCGAGAATACTTCGAGGGTGGTAGAAGGAGGCGAGGGTGTATTAAATAGGTTGGCTGGTAGATTAGATTCAGACCAACTGCCATCTTCATTCTGTGAAGAGTAATCTTGGTTCATAAAGAAGCCAAGATTCTTCAAAACTCAAAAGTTAGTAAACTTGAAACTTTGAAAGGGAAGAAAGTGTGATAACAAGACAAGAGAGAAAGTTTCAGCCCAATACTTGTTGTTTCATTTCAAAAAGAAAGAGCCATACACAAAAAGGGAAGAAGTGATGAGTGAATGGTGTGTGGATTGGTTACGAATAATTCAACATTGACTTTCGAGATAGACACCCAAAAAGAAAGTTGTTAAGAGTGGAAGGGGAAGGAAGTGTAAAGAGAAGTGTGCTTGAATTTGTGATACTCAAAGGGATTTGTGGAAGGATTGTTTCTGGATCTTACCTCTTCTTTGGTGTCGGACATAGAAGACATTGATGTTTCTGATCCCGAACTGGAAGGACGTAGAATGTCCGACGTTGATGATGATGATTTAAGGTTATCAGACAGACTGGTCTTGCCTCGTTGCTGACGAACTTTCAAAGAAATCATCTTGGAAGTACCAAAAGAAGTCTATTGGTAGGTAGGTAGATAGAGTGTAATGGGTGGTAGTTGTAATAATAATAATAACGAAGGAAAGAAGTAAAGGGTATCTGAGTGATACCTCGAAGGAAAAAAAGAAAAGTATGAGGGAAGGAAGAAACAAATTGTAAAAATTGAAGAATATTAAGAAGGTGTAGAAGGAAAGAAAGACCGAGTCAATCAAGGGGGAAGTCGAAGACTTAAGTAGGTTCTGGGAAGGTCCTTCGAGAACTCAAATGGAGCTAAGACTAGCGTGGTTTGTTGAAATTCACCTCACCCCCTCATCGAGTCGAAAGATGATACAACTTCAATCAAGTAAATGGGGTCAGATAGAGGGGTTAGTCTGCCCAAAAAGGAAATAATGGAATGATTTACTGTTTGTGCATGAGAAGAAAGTCGAGTGCATGGTGGTGAATTATGGGTTTCTGTCCTGCAAGCCTCATATTCCCAGTTTCATCGAAAGACTTTTCTCAACGAGGTATTTTCTCCCCTCAATTGAAAGAACTTTTGACAGGATGAGGGGTATCTTTGCATGATACAAGTGAATTGATCGAGTTAAGAATTAAAAGTTGAACCCCAAATCAGCTCATGGGGTTGACAATTGTTTAAGTTGAAAGTATGGAATTGTTCACATGAAGGAGGGTTGATGAATTGAATCTATCCGACCTTACCCCTATGAAGGGATTTGGCGGACTGCTCCGAACAAATCGCTTATCCGAAGTGAGTCCGAGGATTGAAGCGCATTTCGATGCTGGAGATGATAGGGAAGAATAAGCACAAAGGTGAAGACTACAGTGAATTCCACCATGACTTTTGGAGATTTCGGGAACCACGCCTCACAATTTATCCATACCACTTCTGGACCGCAACAATAGCTCACCCAAGCACATGTCGTTATATAGTATATAGTAAGTATATAAAGTACAAATATACCTGGTTAAATTTTGCTTGGAATCCTCAAGAGGTACCTAGCAAAGAAGTAGGAAATCGCTTCTGGTGCTGAGATCTTGGCTATTAATAACTCTGGCTATTAACTCTGGCTGT